CTTTCCTAAACTTTATAATATATCGCTAAAAAGAATGTTTTTTTTATTAAAATTTGGAGACTAAAAATATGTGACTTGAAAAGCGCAATTTCTGCCAGATATAATATGTTTATTACGGACATAACTTTTTAATTAATAATTACATTTCTAAAAGAACGCACAAATTTATTAATTTAATTACAGCGAATTGCTAATTGGATAAATTTTAAACGTATTTCCAAACAAATAATTCAATTTAATCAATAAAAAAACAGAAAATCAAATAATATTTAGTTGTAACTTCAAAGCTTTCAAAAATGTCTTACTGAAAAGTTAGTGTTTCTCAGAAAACTCAACAACTTCAAGATAAACAACTGCTTGGTGCATCTCTGGACAACTCAGAAGATTATCGACTTATAAAATCATATACAACGAATAGGTTTTTTTTGTGTGAAAAAGTTTTCTGATGAAGAATCTTCCCTCTTTTCCAATTATTTCCGGTGTATCCCTAAGAAGTGGTATTTTGGGGGATTTTTGACCTATCTCTTATCTCATCTGCACATCAAACCTACATATATCAACTAAGACAACAGTTGTTAAATTTACATTGCAGATATAAATCTCATAATAATCTAGTGATAATATCAAAAAATCTAGAAACTACCATAATGTAAAACGTAGAATCAAAAAAAAGATTTATCTTAAGAACATTTTCAAAGTTGAATCTAATTAAATAAACTATACAACAATCAAATTAGAAAATCCAACAAGTATTATACATACAAAATTGTAGAAATAATAAGAAGTTTAAAACTTGAATGAAAAGTTGTACCCAAATAAATGTATTTATAAACTTATGTAAACTCTTGAAAATTGGATTTAAATTTTAAAATTATTGATTAATTACTTCAAATAATTAAGAATCAAACATTATCGCAAAGAAATAAATTTTCTCATACATATTTTAATAAATTCCTAAATAAATGTAAGTTATTGCATTAATTATGTAAATGGAGAAAATGCTACAAAGATATAGAAAATGATAAATTAATAGACACATCGCTAAACAAACAATTTGGAAATAGATGACTCCCTGGATAGAGAGTTTAGCAGACCCGAAAACCGGAGTAGAATTCCGAAACTTCGAATTTATGCACAGAAACTCGGCAATAACTTAGACCGGAACTTATAAACTGTTCGTTCGATTTCGATGAATATTTGAAGCATACCCATAGAATTATATTTTTTGGATAATTTTAGTTTACACATTTTAAAAACAATTTACAAAGTTAAATAATATGAAGTTACACAATATTTTTAACACATAAAATAAATAAAGTTTATTGTTTTCATGTTCTACCTAAGCATACTAAATATTAAAAATAATTATTATAAATAATGTGTGATAATGCTCCCGATGCATTAAATTAAAAGTTAAGCAATATTTTGTAATGGATGTAGTTGGATGGGATACATTTAAAATCATATTCTTATTAATTAAAAACTAATGTAACAAAAACATATGCGTAGGTATGAATCCGAACAAATTAAGAATTGTAAACAAAAAAAACTAGTTGTCAATAAATGTTTTTAGTGTATTGAAATCCTTCTTTAAATATAAATTAAAATAATTAAGAATATACGATTTGTGCAAATGAACAAATGAAAAAAAAGTTGGTTTATTCAACGATCGATGAGTGCTCTCGTAATAAAAAAAAGTAATGTTAACAAAGTGAAATAAATGGATTAGTGCCCACTTTAAACTCTTTCATTATTTACTTGAAAGCCCCATCCACCTTACCTTTTGACTTCAAATTAGCTTCATCTTTCTACAGTAATCGTGTTCAGACACGCTACCATGCTCACTCGCAACTCGCTTTTTTTTTTGTTTTGAAGAATTTCCCCGAACTAATATTTCACATTAGTAAATACCAAAACTGTACAGAGCATTTCCGTAATTATAATACAAAATGATCTATGGATTAGCGCACAAAATTAAAAACATTAAAAATAGTCTTAACAAACAAAAAAATATTATTAACAAATACCATGTATATTATTAGAATTGTTCTTAATTATCTTGTCGTGTGCGCTTGGTTTATCCCTACAAACATTTCAACATTAGTAATACAGGCGAAGGACGCGTGGCATTTATTGGCACGCTACAATTACATAAGCTATGTTTTCCTAATACGTTTACGATTATTGTTCTGTAGGGTGTAATTTTAGCAATTGCCTCACAAGACAAGAAATCCAACAAACATTTGCAATTAGGCTACATCCCTGAATTAACAACTTCCCGCAACAAAAATATGAAGACGCCACAACTATCACAACTCTAAACTTTGCTATGAATAATATTAATAATAATAAATAAGTAAACGATGTGTACACTAAATTGCTCTGATAATCGGATTAGATCTGACTAGATAGAAAGTTTTTGTCTATACAATCAATGCACAATTACTACACCTGGCAATGCTTTCTAATTATAATTAAGTTCACTTTTATATTAAAATTGTATGATTTTACTATGATAATGTGCAAGGAATATGAAATAGGAATAGGTCGAGCAAATTCGTGCAATGTGTGACACACAAAAGCGAATGTATATTACTCGAAAAGTGAATATCCATATAATAATGCATATATATACTATTGTTAGAGAAAAGTTTGTTAGAGCGAAAAAACACATATTTACACACATAATTAATGCCAGAGTTGTCTTAAACTATACTTGCATATAAATGCGTTAAAGACATGATAATACTGTAACAATATTGTGTTATTATGATGTGAGCGAAGATGGGTACCCTTTTTTTAATTCATCTCCGGTGTGTTTACAAGCTCGCAATATAATTTACAAGTGCTTTAATCTAAGCAAGACACTTGCAAACCGCTGAACGCAATTTCGCGGAATTCCTTCTATTAAAATCCACATCCTTCTAATAAAATATAATGGAGATGGGAGAGGGTGAAAGAAAGAAAATTGTGATGATATTAAAAACGCCCCGGGTAGTCACTTCCGTTTGCCACTCACTCTCTTTCTATCTCCTCTTTTCATTATTTATTCGTTGTTTAACTTCATCTGTCTTCTGCCATATCGATCCTCTTCGACAATTAACACTTTAATTTCCGCACTTAAAATATACACTTGCTATCATCAATCATCCTTGGAACCGTTTCGATTTTTTATTTTATTTATTTTTTGCTAAATTGTGTTCTATTTTTACTACTTCATATTATACAAATCACGTATAGCAACTGGAATTTATTTTCACAAACTATAAATTTCAATATAGTAATCGTCAAGTTTCAACAAACATCGTAAATCAACGAGAAACGAATTTATCTGAATCAACAATTGAATGATGACATCATTTTAAAGAAACAACAGATGCAAGTATTTATACTTGATTCGCTGCTTGTTTTTGTAATTGCTATATTTTATGTATTAGTTAGCAAAGGTTGATTCATTTGATGGAACTAATTTCATTCGAACTCATAATATGATGAGGTTGATGATGAACAACTGAATAAAAACTTATTCTACAAACACAGAAAATGTAGTAAAAAATATTATTTTCAACTGTTTCTGACAGTTGAAAATTAACGTGATTTGATACTAATTAGATTAGTAATTGTAGAAAATGACAGGATCTCAACTAATACAAATTACTACCAATTTATGCAATGATACGGTCCGAGGACTGACAGGAAATCAATTCGTCGAATGCAGAAATTCGATTATACAAGATCTCTGGAAATAAGATCGACGAAGAAGAGAGATTTCCATACGTCAAAGTCAATTTCTGCTGGGCACATTGATATGTTTAGCATTCGCAGTATGGATTTAAAATGTCCATAAAACGATTTGAACGTGCGGAATGTTTCATATCATCCGTTGATATTTTATTTCCGTTTTCGAACGCAATTAAAGATTTTATGTCATGCAATGCATGGCGAAGAGGCGTTAAGTTGGAACGCATATTGCATACCATTTCATTATTTCAGTTCATTTCAGTCGCTTATAACCAGCATACAATCACAGTTTATTAAATAACAAAGTATATAGATTCAATATCATCCTATTAAACGTGGATTAATGATTTACGAGCTATTGATTTCGGATAAAATGTGCTATTCATATTGAATGGTATGCAACCAACTTAACTATTATTTCTTATTTGGTCCTGGATATATTTATATCAATATTACTTGAAGGTAATTGAAGAATATTCAAACATAATTTATTGATTAGTGAATTTAGTTTATAGTGAATTTAATATATAAAGAATATAATCTACATCAGGGTCCTTCAATCAACGGAGACTTTGGGTTCCGAGAAATTTCTGAAGGTTTCCACGAGACATTATCACTGAATTATAAAATGAAAAATGATTCCTTCAGAAATACCACAAATCAAATAGGTTCCTAAGGTAATGAAAGGTTGAAGAACACTATATTTCACCCGGTGCATCCACCTTTTTCAGTCTTTTTGGAAATTATTGTAGTGAATAACATATTAATAGAAAAATATCTAAAAAAACAAATATTTTACCTACAAAACTAGTCGTTGTATTAAATATTAATGTATATTGAAGACATATTTCTAGAATCTAAATAATTTAGGTATAGCTCTTACCTTATATCAAATGAAAACCATGATATGATCCTGATACCAGGATTCTCAAGTATTTATCGCAGCAAAAGTTTGAAAATAAGTATTGTCCTTTTACACTTCAAAACACTATAAGTTCACGAATATTACAATTAAAAAATAACACTGAAACCGAATTTGTTATAAATAATAACAAATGTCAAAAACTGATTGGAAACAAAAAAAAACAGTATAGGTTTCTTGATTATAAGAAATTAATGACAGATTAATTATAATTAATATATTATTATTACAAAAATCGTAATTGATAATTTTAAATAAATTCGTTTGAAAAGTGGTCAATCTTAAAATTTCAGATTTACATGCAAAGGGTATTGAAAAAAAAAGAAGCGATGCGAAACGTTCATGTAATAACGTACACATTTATTTTTATATTATCTGTATCACAAAGTAGATAAAGTGTGAACATGTGCTTATTATGGATATCCTATCAGAAAACAAAATTTATTAAAAACATTGTATTACGAGTCACACCAAGTGTTATCCGAGATTATGTATCCCTTCATGAATTTCTAACAATAAATACTAATATGTTCAATGACCATTTTTTCTTACATTTTGTTATGTTGCATGAATTATTAAGAACAAACAAATAAAAAATACTAAGATGATCAAATTGGCACGGCAAAAAACCGGTACAAGAAAAATAAAACGAATCGTATCAATAATACTAACAAACACTAGAATTTCTCATCTGAATAAAAACCAACAACTCATGTTCTCTCCTTTTGATTTGTAAATATATATTGCATCATAATTAAAAAGTGAATAGTAATAAACTCCACGTTATCCCAAACAACAACAGTACGCGTATTATTAATTAAATAAAATGTAATAAAAAAATTAAATAGAGGAAAAAAAACGAAGCTAAATAGGAATCTTTAAGCAGTCAAAAAATAGTTATATCTAAGCGAATCAATTTTAAAAATAATAATACTCTTTTTGTTCTTAAATTGCATTTGAAAATTGTTGTGGTAGTTTAAAGGCGTTCCACGTAGTTTGCTGGGAATAAACCGTAAACACCATCCGGGCTCAGACCTTGCCACCATCCCTCGTCGACCAACTCGATGTGCGTGATCAGATCACCAGGATCAAACGAAATCTCAGTATCATCCGCTACAAAATGTTATAATTTCATTTAATATATGCTTATAAAGATGGGATATAACTGTTATTACCAGCTTGATAGTCGTATAATGCCCTCGCTTGAATTCCTGAATCACACAAATCTCCATACAAAACTTCATCGACGAATTGTTGTTCAGTGATCTGTTGCACGGTCTCGATCTTCGGTTCCTGTTGCTTGTTTATGACGTTCTTAGCGTTCTCCTGTTCCACTGGGCTTGTGATCGAGTTCTTTTTGTCTAAATCTTTAGGGGAGCGTTTTATTGTTGCAAATTGGTCAGAGTCATCGTCGCTTTGCTCCTCGATCTGTTTGTTCTCCTGAATCACTTCTGGTGGCGTCCTAATTAGAAATAGTAAATTAGTCATTTATAAGATATTTATTTTGGTGATCAACTTACGTAACCACTTCTTGTTTGGCCTCTTCTTCCATTTTCTGTTGTTGAGCTTTGAGTATGGAAGCCCGGACCGGCTTCTCCGGCGTAGTCTTCTTTATTTGTCCGGCCGACGTGTTCTTTTCGAAAATCGACCGAGCGTCAATGGTGCGTTGAGCAATTAGATTTTGAGCTTCCTGGTTGCGCTGCTGCCTTAAAACATCGCTCTGATTCACTTTCGTTTCATTCAAATCCATAATGTACTGTTCCATCTCCTGTTGCGCCTTATTATCCTGGGCCACCTTCTCCGCCTGTTTGATCAAGTCGATGCTAGAATTCCTCCTCTCGGTCTTCTCATCTCGCACTTTCGCCTCCAAAGCTTCACGCTTTTTGGCCTCCTCTTCCAGCTTATGCTTCTCGGTATCGCGTCTGCTGCGCTCATCCTCCACACGCTTCTTCTCCTCTATTTCTTCCTTCATCCAAAATTGATCCCTTTCCGTTGCATTAATCTCCTGGATAGGGTTCACGCGCTTGTAATTCGATCCTATTGGTCCCGTGGGGCCTGTATTATCGCCTCTGGGCGCCTTAAAGCTGTACACCGAGCCGGCCTTGGCCACCTTATCAATAATCAGCTGAGGATCAACCTCATCCTCATTCCTGGCATTTATTGTCACATTTGCACCTGAAAAGAATTTCTCCACATCTCTCAGGTGATTGGCACACATGCCCTTGCGGACTGTATTGGCACCCTCTCCTTGCCAATTGATCAGAACACACTTTGGCAGTGAGGTTTTAGGGTCATTCACTTTGGCAAATGCGTACATGATTTTCCCACTGTTGAAGTCCTCGACCAGCTCCTCCAGGCCCCCGGAGCCAGTGCTCACCACCTTCAGATCATTTGATTGCTTGTCATAGCCGAACAAAGCCCTGCAATGTTAACATAACATAACAACCAGTTTCCTTAACATAACCTATACATGCTCAACGCTTATTTTGAATCATACACTCACCAATCTGTGTCGGTTTTCTCGTTGAGGACATCCTTGTAAGCCTCCTGCAGCTCACTCTTATATTTCTCTAAATTAATTGCCATCTCTGAAGCATTTAATCGACGATGTTCGGCTCTGCAATATTCGCCCACTTGCTGTATCCAAATTCACATACGCAACGCAGCAGCAATGGACTTCCAGCAGTCAGCTTGATTTGAATTTCAAAATTAATCATCAAACACAAAGCGAATTTACTTATCTTATCACAATATACAATAATATTTACAGACACTATTCACAATTATCAATAAACAACTACGTAAATCGATCTTTCCATATAAGAATATTGTAAAAAAAGCGTTATATGACTAATTTATTAAATGATGAGTAATCAACAAATGTTAATTGTTAAGCACATAAAACTGCACCTTAATAACAAATTTTAATCATTTAATTAAATTGAATACGTCAATAAGCAATTTCTCAATTTACCTAATTTCAAAATCAATTTTCAATGGAATTCAGATTGCACAAAACTATTCCAAATACACCACCAATACTAGATTATCTTCTCCTGCAGACGATTGAAATAAATGCTAAACTCTTGAATGTTTGGAGATGAATGGAACGAAGGTGCTGTGGGAAAATTGCACGGCGATGCGCTTTCATAATTTATAGTACCGCTAATTAAAATTATTCCATTTTGCGTTAATGGATTCACGGTGGAAAAAGTAATGGACTTACGGCAATTACTGCCTTCATCTATATATATATATAACAAATACATCTTTTTTTTAGTTGCACGATGTAATTAGGTGTTAAAAGAAAACGAGTCATCTTCGTTCCAATCAAGTTTGTGAATTATGTGTAAACTAATTTGTGAAAAAAATATATTTAAAAATAACTAGACTAATACGTTCGTTTCTATTCGTTCAACAAAAGAAAAAACTAATAAGAATCTTGATTGGAATGTAAATAATAAATGATTCAATTAAAACACGCGTAGAAATAAATAGAAAAAAAAATGTTCTATCAGCTATCAATAATTGAAGTCTATTCATAACTGTACTGATTTATTAAAAGTAAAAATATATTGATGAGAGTTCATTCATTAATAAATTAACTAAAATCATTATAAAAGGAATACTCAATATTATGGTTAAGAAGGTTACATAAAGAAATCTAAATATTAAATTCAGTTTCTTAACGATTTTAACCCGTTTCAAAATTTCGGGATTTTTTCGTATAGTGAAATACTCGTATAATGAAACATATTCAAAAATTCTCAAAATATGTGTACACAAGTTTTAATACTGAAGTAGCAGGTGCGCAATCCGGGACTTATCTTCTCATCGTCACTCGTTATGCGAAACGTCGCTCGTTAAACAAGTCATTTTTCTTACAATTCATTTTGCTCGTTAAGCGAATTACTCGTTAAGCGAGGTTCCACTGTACAATTAAAATAAATTATTAAATATAGTCCAAAAGTACTGAAAGCCAGAAGAATTTCTAAACGTTTACGATTATTCAGTAGTTTAGATCATTCACTTTTAAGCTATATATTTATTTAAATTAAATTTTGTGTTTCGAATTTATAACATATAATTCTATAACTGATGAAAAAAAAATCCGCTACGTAAAGATCTACAAAACACTTGTTTGTAAAGTAACGTTGTCATGGTAACATCAGTAACATCCACATGTTAGTTGTGTAAGAAATGCATCTGAATATTAACATGTAATAACATAATCACCCTTTAGTGTATTTCCTTTCCACATTTCTAGATTTTTGTTTCGTAATATAACAAATTCATTTAGTTCGAAAGACCATGTTCCATTTTTAATATACCCTTAATTGCATCTAACCTTAGACTTATTTATACTTTGCTTCCTCTTTTTAGGTCACCATTTAAGATTTAATCTAAATTTATTTGCTATTAAGTGTTTCACGCGATAAACACCATAGCAAAATGAAATAAATGGAGAGCAAGGAACAAAACGGAATAGATTTCGAAAGGTAATTGCAAATTTATGTAATGCAAAGGAGGAAATTTGTCTGTGTGTGTGTATTGCAGGATGTATTCTCTTTGCGAATTAAACTAACAAGGACACGGCCGGCTTTCTTCTTCTGTAGTATGCAAACATATTATAAATGTTGAACTTTTTATGTTTTGTTTCGTTTATTTAGCAATTTGCAAAAAAAAATGTGAACGCAATTACATAATTTGTTTATGTAACCTTTTTCTTTTACGAAGAATGCAATTCGTGTTTTTGAATATTCATTATAGAATCAATTTTCAATTGGATACTCGAATAGTAATATCTAATTCTATTATTAGATTGTTAGCACGAATACGACTTTTCTCCAATCATCATTACGAGCTGTAATTAAAATTTATTAAATTATATTTGTTTAATGAAATTGGAAGAAATTTCATTACGATTAGTTCAACGGAAATGTTTATTATTATTTTTATTCGGGAAAACCAAAACCGAACAATGTTACGTTGATAAGATTAGAAAATGTTATAGGATAACAGAATGTAATAGTAGATATTCTATATAATATTTACATTTATTGAAAATTAAAAATTCTTATCATCTACTACTATAGCATTCCTTCAACGTTATTCATTTAAAAGCGAGATTAAATATCGATATTTATTATTATCATTATTTTAATTCTAACAAGTAAGTTATTTAAATATGCTTAGTCAAAAAAAGTTTTGGTTTCTTAAATTTTACTTAATAATTGCTTCAACTAATACAGAAGTAATTCTATTTTTTATTTAGAAAAATTAAAAAAAATATTATATAAAATATAACTATTTTTAAGTATTTATCATTGATATATATATGCATAATTTCAAGATAATAATCGTAATTTACTTCTTTCATTTTAGAACAATTATAATTTTAAAAGTGTATTATAAAAAGCGAGTAGTAACGTTAAATACTTGCATGCACGAAGGCAATTACAAAACTGTTTGTATTATTTTTTTTTATAAAAGTAGAAGACATTTGATGGAAGGACATAAAGAAATATGAAGCAAAGAACACATATTTAGGAAGCAAGCAGATATTTATTGGTCATTATAAACTGAAACGATCTCAACACAGGCATAAGAAATGAGGACAAACATCGATTCCTAGTTAAAGCATAAAATTATAAGAAATTAGTTTACTTCTTACTAGTGATAGCATTCGAAGTATTTCAGTATTAAGTATTGTTTAACGTGGAATTCTAATAGTCATAGTTATCATTTCGACAAAAAAAAGGCAAATGAAAATTATAAAGAAATAAGAGGGAAAGATCTTAAGTAAATAGTCATTCACAAAAGTTTTTAGTAATTTCATTTCATTATTTCACATGACTATTGCAACAAATGTGACTATTATTATCAGGGTCGAATCGTTCATTTTGGGGTCGCTGGTCTAACACTGTTTAATGACCCTCGACTACCACTGTTTGAGGGTCCTCGACTAACATGCTTTGGGGCCCACGACTAACATTCTTTGGATACCCTCGAACCTTTTAATTTATTAAGACCATAATCTTGCCTGAATCTTGTTTTCTAACTGAAGATGAACAAGTTTTCAATTATAACAAATTCCAAATGATAGTATTCAAATTAAAGACTAATAAATTTAATCTGGAAAAGTCAATTATTTGTGATATAAAATGTAAATCGATCTTATTTTATATGAATGAAAGTATGAAAAAGTCGAATAGAGATATTATTGTACATGGCATCTTTGCAAACAATATCAACGTTGTTATGTTGTTTGTGCAACATGTTTGCGTTACATAAACATCATAACAAACCTTCATTGTGCGAAGGAGAAGCATTATACAAATCTAATTAAATGGGAAATGAAAAAAGTTCAGCATTGGGTTTTGATTGAAAAATAAACAATAAAGCGGCGTGAATGTACACTGAATGCGTGTTGTTTCGCTGTTCGCAGTTCTGCGAATTCGATAACGTTTAGCAACTTTTGCGGTGTACCAAAAAGGGGGTTGAAAAACAAACCGTACTCGAGGTATGGTGGATGTAAACAAAAACCGGTGGGAATCGGAAGGAAGGAAAGAAGGAGAAACCGGAAGCTCGGAGTTGCTGCGCGCGTACTAGAAACGCGCGCAGTTTTGTGTTTAGTTTCCACAGCGATACACAACAGAATTGTTTATTGGCATTCGCGGTGCGAACAAGCATCGAAAAGCAAGTGCACCAGAAATGCAAGTGATCTACTTAAGATGCCAAAGGATGATGGCCCAAAACTGAAAGATGTTCGTTCCATTGACTGAACGTGAAAGACAGCAGTTCTTCGCGCAAAACAGCAATTCGTTTATACCGGGGTAAGTCGATTCAAACATTGCTTCCGACACACTTCCAGCATTTACAAAGAAATCAAATATTGGGAAGAATAAAAACAGCTTAGTAATCCGGCTCATCAAAGCAAGAAATTATTGCGATTCGCAATTTAATTGATAATAATTGCAATAGTAATTTAAACTTTAATTGAAAAAAAAAACTATAATTCCTATATTTACTTTCGACGTATCTTTGATGGTTAGATGTATATCTAAGTGGTGTTTTGGAATAGGTCTAAAATTAGCTTTCGATTACACTTTTAAGGTCGGCAATTAGGAAAAACGAAAAGGACGGCTCTCGTGCTATCGCCGATATGAGAACATATTGATTCCAAATGCATTTAAAATTAATTGGCAGTAACAAAATTGAAATTGTGTACTTTTGTATATTTTGCCACTCAAGTCTAAAACAATTTCGAAGATGAGAACATACCATGAATAAAAGATGCTTATATGGAATTAAATGTCGCGGTCCTTGGGGTGAAATCGTGTAAGACAGGCGAGCAATTTTCTTCAATAAAATATAACATTACCTGAAAGAATACAATCGAAATCAATCTGAAGCATTCAACCCACACACAAATAGTTAAATAATTTCATTCAACAAAATTGTTATTACTTCCTCAAACCACAACACAAATAGTCTTCAATCTAGTTCAAATTACAATACCAAAAAAAAGTACAACAATATTTACCATCATATATCAAAATCTAATTAGATTAAATCTTGTCATATGAAAATTTCAAGATTGTAATTTAAAATACATTTAATAAATCTATTATTTTATCAAGCTACATTAGTCTAGTTCAAATTACATTACAAATAAATATTTACAAATGATATTTTAGTCAAGGTTGCGGTTCACATAAACTATTTCTACATGATTCTTAACAGAAAGAAAGAAATTATTTAAATTTACCACTAAATACGTTATTGCAAATTCATTAATAATTGAATTTCTGTATGCAAATTTAAGTGCGATAACAATTATTCATAAGTTTAGAATTCAACAACAAATACGTTTTTGCGTGTAATTCCAACCGTGTTAGCACTCCAATTTGCCATACACCTGTTAATTTTTGTCGAACGTATTTTTCACCGGTAATAATTGTATTTGCAAACAAACAATTAATACGTTAAAAGAAACTTGGCGTGTTTCGTTTACTTTATTTCCACGCCGCGTCGAAATCTTAGATGAAATCATTATCAAAGTAATAATTCAAACTGAACGGAAATTATGTTTTTATTACTTCACTGAAAAACAAAAATAATGGTACTGTTTTGTTATTGTTTTCAAGGTTTTTTATTTGCAGATATGAAATTATGATGTAATTGTTTATTGTTTTGAATATGTAGTTATTTTTGTAGAAACATTTTGATTTGATTTCTTCGGTAAATGATGGCAAATTCAAATTGAAGATTAAGAAGTGATTAAGAACAAATTAATTTTAGTTAATGTTACTAGAAAAAAATAACAGTAATGCAATTTTGTCAAGGTTATTGCATACATGATACGATTTAGAACGAATAATTATTCTCGTGTTTTATTTACTTGGCTGAAATAACTGAAAATATGTTAAACTTAGTTACAGTATGTTTATTTATTTCATCTATGATTCAATTTCTATCTTCAAAATTATGTAATTCATTCTAATTTTTCTTATTTGACTTATAAAGATAATCACAATCATTTCAATTCTAATTTCGAATTTAAATTTACAATTTTCAATAAGTGTAACAGTCTTAACAGATGATTAAGAAAAAGTTTGTAACAACAGTTAACCACTTTCGTTTTGTTCTTTATATTTCTTTATATAAATCAATTAATTTCTAATTAATTAAAGGATTCCATATGATACACAAACCAAAGATAAAACAAACTATAACATCCTCGCTTTTAGTGATTCGACTATTAAACACTTGTACAAAAAGTACTTGAATACAAATCTTAAAATGAATGAGCTAAACTGACAATTTCCTAAATATAACATCTAAATTGTAACAATTCCATGATATTCCATGTAAATACAACAAATTGCGAACTAGGTCATGTAATAACATATAAACTAAACAAACAAGTATTCTAAACACTTCCATAAAAATATGTATGTGGTGCATTTGTTGCTGTAATCTGATTATAGCACGCCAACAAAACAGGGTCCGATCAAATATTATTGCGCGACTTCTAACATTTCTCGTCGAACCAATGTCACGGAAAGATGGCTTAAAGTCGAAGGCGTTTAAACTCTGTAAACGAATTTAGAGCAATCTTTCATTTAGGCTAATACAGCATAATTTCCAATACACTGAGACAATTACTCGATTAAATCTACACATGCTGACATTACAGAACACAGTTTTAGCTACTTGATTGTTTAATAATATAGACGAACTCGATTATGATTTATATAATATATGACATAAGTTAAGCGAAATGATAGAGACAATATTGGACATCATTCCGAAAATCGTATTTTAAAATACGAAATGTTGTTGTGTCCAACCATTATTATTATAATTGTTATTATTAATATAGTGTATTAACGAACTAGATACATCTGCGAATAAAAGTCCTTTTAATAATTATTACACTTACAATCATCTTTTTCATATAAACAAATGCTTAGGATTTTGTCCCAGTCTTACAATAAACAAACCATCAAAGCCGAATTCCGTGGGAACGTTTAATCATCAATATAAACAAACCCTACACACCCTGTATTAATAACAATTAACTTTGTAAGTTGAATAAGTATTTAGAATTAGTCTAAGTAAAACCTTTAAAGATGAGCATAGTCTTATAAGAATTTTAATATGCTGAGCAAAGTCTCATATGAATCTTAAATCGACCAATTAACGAATAAACGACAATGTAACTAAGAAAATTGAATTATTTTCTATCAATATCGTATTTTAGATTAACTTGCTTTAAATGTTATGAAAATTAGTTAATATCTTTATTAGGTAATTTTTATGAACAATTGTTTATAACTAAAAACAAATTCCTATTCGAAATAATGAATTCTCATAGAAAGTTGAATCAATGAATAATATGAAATACTATTGATTATGAAATATTTTATATGAAGCAATGCAAATAATTGTATGCCAAATGCAAAAGTCATATTTATGCTAGTAACATATGTTATTCCAACAATAGTGAACATTTTCACGATTATGTAATATTGATGAAGTTTTGTGATACAAGTCAATTTCTGTTTGATAAACATTACTAGATATATATATGCATGACGCACCTTTATTGTTATAGAAGCATTAGCAAAAAGTAATTGTAACATATTGTTCTATTTTCTTAAGAATTTAAACATTCCACAATCATTTAATTCAAAAGCAAATAAGTAGTAAATGTATAAGAACTTCGTGGTTTTTCAGAAAGTATATGGAATTTGACGTGGTTATACTAACAGAGGTGTTAAAACTGAATATACTTTACAATATGTGACTGAGATAGTTATTCCAATAAACAATTTATTTTGTAAATGGAAGTACTGTATGGATTTTTTTGCGAAACTAGCAAATTTCAGTTTGATAAACATTGTTAAAACCTTTATACACATGACGCACCTTTGTTGTTACAGAAACGTTAGCGAAAAGCATTATACAATCAAAACTAATTGTAAAATGATGAGGTAACCCATACAAATATTTACGCTTAAAATGAAATTTGTTATTCTCCGTTCCTAATGTTTTCAACATAGTACTATCATTGAATTTAATGTGAAAGCATATACTTTTTAGCGGTAAGTGGATAACGGCTTTGTGGTTCTTCAGACAATGGTATTAAGAATTGTTATATTAATAAATCCGTTAGTTAAGATCAAAATTTCCTTTCCAAAGTATTCTTGCGTGAACTACGTATTAAAGTTGATAATTTATTTAAACATATAATTGGGACGCTCATTCTACGTGAATGCAAATTGAATCGGTGTGCTTTCGATGCTACTGCTGTCCTGCATAACATTCGAAATGGTTCGTTCTTGGGCAAGAAGTTGCGATCGGTCGTTGTTTCGAGGCACGCTTGAATTAGCCGCAAAGTTTTACGCAACGATGGTCTTACTTACTCCAGAAACACGAACGGAGAACAGTTATTCCAATTGGAAAATGATTTATTACAAGCGAATAAAAAATAGAAGAAAGAAAGATTTTCATCTCGTTGATGATGGTCGAGAAAGTGCGACCGCTTTCGATTCGGTTTTTCGCAATTAATCGCGCGCGCCCCCTCCGAGATAAGGCTTTAAAATTAGATTCGAATTGTGGGCGCTAGATAAAGTTCGTGCCAGGCGCTAAAACAAAACGCAAATTTAGAATTTACACGGTGATCGATTTCGTTTTGTGTTTAGGTATACGGGACATTGCCCGACGCTTCGGTTCCAGTATGGGACCTCTTACGGCGCGAAAACCAAAGAAATCCTGCAAGTGAGGAGTTGATGGTAGCCCAAAAAAAACTTTCAACTTGTTTCATACTAAGTCGTTTTAGGAGATGAAGAATCATCAGCATGAGAACGGTGGCCCATGTTTCGGGAGCACGGTCTTCGAGCCGACTATTAGGAAGGAAAGAGCTCAAATGGAAAATCTCAGTCCTCCGTATAAGACCAAACCGTACAGATACATCATTGGATATACAGGTAAAGAAACATAAAATAGAGATTCTTCACTTTCAGATCTATTCAATATACTTAACATTACTTCTTCAGTGATAACTTCAAAATAAAATTGTTAAGCATTTCAGCAATCTTTCATATTCCGCTCAAATACAGAAAATGTAGGTTCTGTTTTTGAAATTCATGGAACCGTTTTATATAAGTCTTTCGAATTCATTCTTCATTGCATTGATTATTTTCATATCCCTATATTTTGTTGATGTTTTCAGGGTTCATACCTACATTGAGTTTTCGTTATGGTGAATCGTATGGAAAAGCAGCAGACGAGAGTATGAACGAGTTCGAGAAGAAGCAAACAAAGTATCGCGATGAGCATCACGACTTCGATAGGATGCGAGCGCAGAGCGCCCCGAAATTAACATCAATTCGCCACAAAGATGAGGTCGACAGGATATTAAAGCACAGCCAAGAGAACAAAAAGTTTATAGGTGAAATAATAGACCATTAAAATATCTCAATCTAAAACCTCATTAATTTTTGTTTGTTTCTTCCTCAGATAGGAAAGTTTCACCGGAGTTCCCACCGATCGCCGGATACACAGGCTACATACCAAAAGTCAAAGGGAACGAGGAATCATTGTCGCAAAGATACAACACGGTTGTGAAACGAGGACTGACCCTTCTCAAACAAGAGAGGGACGGTCGTCAGTACATCAACAAGGCCAAGAATAAAGTCCGCGACATAGTGGACAACTACAAATAAAGCGAATCCAATTATTATTTACATAAAAATAATACGTTTGAGGATTTGCATAAAAATAAGGCACCGTACAAAGAGATGTCGACGTTTCCCCAGTGGAAATATCCGAAAACTCTCGTTACCAAGCAACTTTAATTTTTATTCCACTCCACTATTTATTGAATAAAGTGACACTTCCATATTTTTTTTTATCTACTATCGTCTTCTTATTAACAAACCATGAGTCCATGTCCGAGGTGCTCGAAACCAAAGCAATCGAGATTCGCGAAATCCTTTAAACCACTCAAGAAATCCAAAGCGATCTTCAGTCAACTTCTGCAGAAATTCGTACCGAAATCGATCATGATGTTCGTGTCCAGATATCTTGCGGATGACATATGCATTCAGAGGCGTAGCTCGACTAGCCAATGGCAAAACCAAACGCAGATCTATCGCCTTTTAATGGAAAATCCAAAGTCACTCAAGCCGTTCGCAGCGCCTAAAACGCTAAACTAATCAGATATTCCATTTAGATTGCGCTCCACGCAAAGCGGGATCAATTGGAACAATTTTATTTATGGCTCGGAGGAGAAATTGACTGCACGTTACTACGCCTCGCTCTTGTGGAACTGGAAGCTGCATTCACAAGCCAGAAGATACAACGTTCCTTCCAACTCGATACAGTTATCATCAAATTAACATCTCGTATATTACAGAAAATCAATGAGCACATTCAAAAATCACTGCATTTGACCGTAATGCATATGGAACCCAAAGATCTACAAGTCATTCAGATGGTTATTCACGTAAATTCGCCACTATCAAACTACTCGAAGACTCAAAATAATTTTCCATGTTTAAGCGTTACTATTCGGATACTTTCCAACGCATAGAAAGCCTTAAAACTCCTGAAAACATCAAAGCTTATCTGCAAGAGAAAATCCGTAATGAAGAGCAATCTCTTGCCGCTCTGGTTGAGGTTATCCACAATTGGTTCCTATCGATGGTACAAATGACAAATTTACAATTACATAAAAAATGAAATTACTTTGCTATGGCGTATCATTTGCACTGCATAACTAAAGTATTCTATTTTTCAGCCAATATTATTGGAGCTATCCAAATGTGCTGGTTGGGATTACTTGATGTTCAGAGAAGCGTGCTTGCTGAACGTGGACACTTTGTACTCGATCTTGTTAAATCTGATGTACGGAAACACGCAAAAAGGATCAGAACAAATGCGACTCTCGTTTTAAATTTCATTTAATACATTTTTTAAATGCCATGGAAATACAAAAATAACAACAATTTAAATAGAAAAATACATAAAAAACTTAAATTTAATGAAAGAGTTCTTAATTAACAATATCTGAAACAAACAAGTAATAATCAAATTAAAATATTTAAAATCATTAATTAGAAAAACTAATAATAATCTATTAATTGATAAACTAGCAATGTGTTACTTTTACAATAAAAAGTTGTTAAATTATTTAAATTTCTCAATTGATGATTATTATTGGTTGAATATGTTTGCATAAGCATACACGACCAGTCTAAATTTCCGAAAAGGCCGCACCTGGTTTGCATCAATATTTATTAATATAGGCTCACGCAATACTCAATTTCAGTATAAATCTATTTGGTAGAAGATAAATACGATCCCACGAGTCGTAAGCCAAAATTGATAAAACATTTATAAAAAAAAACATACTACAAACCTTATTCAATGTGATGTCCTGATACGCCTCTCAGTTTCCAATTCGCAAGCTCTTCTCCAGGAAGGTTCATCGAGCGCCTCTTTTCCTTGTGACAAGCAAATCAACCTGGCCAAAACTAAAAGACTGTGCAGATTTTCGATGGTTGCATTTGCGATTTGTCTCATATTTACAAATTCCGTTTGAATTGACTGCAAATAAAACAAAAACATTATTAAAGGTATGCTTGAATGTAATGATGAGAACAAACCTCTTGAATATCTTGACATAATTCGTATTTGTTGCGTCTCGCAACGTCTAAGTACATCCTGAATTCTTTGAGATGAGTATTCAGGTACACTTTCGCTGCATCTACAATTTCCCCAAATGTTTGGACGCATTCATTTACAGGTTTCAGAGGGACGTGGAAATCACTCTATGCAAAAAAAATAATATCAGTATTACTTCGAACAACGGCAATCGTTAAGGTAAATTTACTTATACTTGTTATTTCAATTAGAAACAATAGTTAAATACTTACTGGCAACATAGACTTTCCCTCTGATATAATCAGAAACGCAATATTACATTCATAATCCATCTTGTAGTATCCAAAATCGTATTCCATCGTTTGACTCTTAATGGCGTTTGCTATTGTATTCACAGCCCTCACTCCAGCTTCATTTAATTTCCCAGTAGATAGTTTGGTCTCATCAAGCACCAAATGTGTATTCGCACTTAATTGTAAAATGCCACTGGTTAATCTGTTGCTATCATAATCTTTCCTAAAAATAACCAACAAACATGATTTTAATTAGTAAAGTGAAACTACTGTATTTCACAATTCTTACTTTGGAATAAATGTAAGATCATTCATATTTTCCAAAGTCATGGATAAATAATAGCTTTTCGGGACTATTTCTGCAATGATTTTATAAATTTCCTCTCCGAAATTCACCGTTTCTACCGGAATATTAGAAAGATTTAAGCAAAATTTACCCAATGGCAGAAAATCCTGCCTACTGTATACTTCAGAAATTAAATTGTAAATGAGATACTCTGCAGCAAAAGAATCTCCTAATAACAATTGAGTCAGTACTGTTAACATTTCGTTGAAAACAACACCCATTGGTTTGCTTAAAACGCAGTTGCCCATGTAATTATGTTTTGTGAAAGACTTGAAGTGAACACAATGTATTCTAGGTATCAGAGATGTTGGTGGATTATGCGTCTGCGTTTCGACATCGTCCTCTGAATCCGTGATAATAGGATCAACACACAGAAAACCCACAACTTCAATCAAGTCATTCAACTTAATTGTATCAGATTTATCATAGATTTTAATGTGGCATGCCTTTCCAGAGCTATTTGGAAGAGGAAAATTCAATAGATGTTCTTGAGAAACACTCGAGTTTGGCGCTGGAGCGGGTTTACTCGAACACTGTTTTTTAGTTGGTGAATTAACTACTTCAAGTTCTTTTTCATCCTCATCCAAGGTTCTCTTGGAATTGCAAGATACAGATTGCATGGCACTTTGAAAATCCATTTTATTATTAATGCTTTCCATCTAATAAATCAATTACTTTAATTTTAATACTAAATATATAAACCAAAATATATACCTCTATTGCCCATTCATTTAAGCCTGGAGCACTGATCATAACAAATGTCTGCCTCTCACTGGTAACATTACTTGGGCTATCATGATCCATTATTTCGTTTTCCTAAAATTTTAAGATTAAGAATAGAACTATTTTAAGGCAATTGTTGGGAAATCACCTTGCATGGGATGGACTCAATATATTTACCATTGATAACATTTAACTCTGCTGAGTTTTTATTTACAACCATGCACTTTTCCAAATAATATTCAGGGTTGTACATGTCTTGGATCATTCCTCTGAATCTGACCAATTTGCCACTTTGCAAACGCTGTGCATCATTGCAATTCAGGAGAGGAACCTTTTCCCAATTGCTATTCAATAATTCCAAGCAATCAGGCTCATTCTCCAGCCAGAAATTTCTATTTAAACTCGTTATATCCATATTAATCTAAAAGTTTAATATTACGTAAATACAGTTCAAAAAAATACTAACTTCTAATTACTTATAATATCTAAAAAAATGTGCAGGAAGTGATCAGCAACAACACAGTACTTAAGGTTAAATAACTTTGCCGCCACTTTAACAAAATTACCACCTCCTTCGTATCATGCAAAGAATTGTTGCCAATAGGGAGGATACTAAAAACCCTAAATATAATAAATAGGGAGCAGCTGAAAAATATAACCTAAAATAACCGATAATAAAATTTGATTAAAATGTTTCTAACAAACATTTTACTGAAAAAAGTCAAAAGCAAGTAAGTTAAATATTTAAGAAATGTATTTCAATGTCCTTTTAACATTGTGTTTCAGGCATATAATGGTACAAATGGAAAGTTTAGTCAGTGGACATAAATTCAATAAAATTAGGGAAAGATTAGCAGACAAATTGGAATTAGTTCGTTTCGATCCCTTCAGTAAGTTTAATCAAGTTTATAAACTAATTAGAAAACAATCTAATTGATTTTAATTGCAGTTCAACAAGATTCTGTGTACAGAGAGAAGAAGAGAGTTCGTAGTATGAAGTTTTAGGTTTATAATTTATGTAGTAGTATGTGTATAAATATAATATCATTATAGGTGATATATAAATTGTATTATTAATTAAATATAAATGTACATATTGTATTTCTTAAAAGATGGTGGGTTGCCTACAATCTTGTTTAAAGGGTTGTATAAGTGAGGATTTCGAAATCGATTTTGACGTTTTCGTAAAAAAATATGTCCATGCTACCAACCAAATAAAAACGCAGTTATAGACATAGAAATGGCGGCCAGTTAACTAAAAAATAAACATAGCCATTAAAATGAATTATAGATTTATAAAGAGGCTGCAACAATTGAAAACAATACTCGGTAATGCAATTGGATCATTCGTCGTTGATTAGATTCTGGCCTGTGTTAATGTGAGAGCTTCAGACCATAAGCAGACCTCCATTTCAACCCCCCCTTCTGTGCAATTTTCCCCCCAATACTTTAAACAGTGCAGTGTAATTAATTATTTAAATGCCTGACTTGAACCAGATTTATTTACTTTTATTTCTATACAAGATAATTGATACGTGATTCCATCCTTGTGTTAAATTAAAGTGTTTTATTTTCTTCTTTCACGACTGATTCTACATATTTTCTGGTATGTTGACAATATTCTTGTTAAATATAAGTACAATTGAAAGGTGAACGTTTGTTTGGTGTCACGGACAATCTGTGTAATAATATCTTGCAGCTAAATCGGGGTGACCTAGGCCTAAGTGGGCCTAAGTCTGTTCGTCCGTCTGTTTACCTTGATTAGACTGTACTAAACATAATATTGGCATACCTGATTTAACCTTATCATACTATGAAATACGGCTCATGTTTATGAAAAATGGTTCTTGGATTGTCCTCAGAAGCAGCACCGTCATTGCAACCTGACACAAGTTTAAAAGATAAAACATGGTGCTGCTACTGAAATAAATCAATAGTTCGAGTATTAACGAGACAAAACGATGTGTTCTAATAGTATAATATTATGTTTATAGCAATATATGTTACTTTACTGATGTTATTTCTACATACCAGAACTTTTATTAAAACCACAACTATACATGAGATTTATGTCTTGTAATCATAGATTTCATTATTATTTTTTCCTAATGCTACTACATGCACACTATACGTGAAAATACATCAACTATTATTGTTTATTATAGAGATGAATCTGAAGCAATTGCACATTATGTCAGTTAAGAAACATAATAAAAATTAAAGACAGTGATATCATCTGTACAATCAACGTATATAGTTTAACAAACGCACATAGTGTGGATGCAAAATAAGTGTAAAGCAATGTCGAACAACTATACCAGCAAACCTCCTTTTGTATTGAATTTAATGAGGAAGATGCATCAATTTAACAAATCAAGAAATACATTGCATTTGTTTCATAGCAAGTCCTTGACGCACTTCAGCACCGTTACATTAAATCTTATTAAGTAAATAAATACAATCATAAATGTTTCCGTTCCCATTGAGTTTATAATATAAATAAACAAACAATAACTTGATATGGACTTAGATCTTCCTGAATCGACAAATATTATTTTCTTTAAGAGTCAAATCAACGGCTGAATCATAACAATATGAAGGGGCAAGTGTAACTGTTAAGGAGATTGCATATTATTCACTTAATGTTCATACAATTCGTATGCAAAATTGACCTTATCAATTTGCTTTTTGTGCACTGTAAATATTAGTAAAGCTTATTTGTAAATTTATTACCCTATGTAAACGTTCTAAATAAACACTACAAGCATATTCGATATTTTTTTCATTTATGTTTACAAACATTCCCATATCGATTGAGACTTGATATTCTTAGCCACACAAAACTTTAGTGCGGCATTTATTTAAATAATGTTGAGAATGTTCATTAGTAGAAAATCAGTCGACAACATTAGTGATTCCTGATTTAGATTTTATGTTGGTGCAACTCTTTAGTTAAAGTCCAGGTGCGTCACGTACTTCTTTATTGATTTCCTCTCGTTGCATTTTACTACCGTCCAACGCGATTGGACAATCGTAAAATCCATTTCATCACATTATTTTAGCGTATTTATAAAAAATCAATAATGTAGGATATATTTTATCAAAGGTACACCGTGGATTATCTCGTAGTTATGTCGTTGTGGAGTCTTAGAGGGGTTTATGAATATTAAATGCAATATTTTAAATTAGTTTTATTATACACATCATAGTTTTTATTGAGAAGTCCACTATTCAATTGTTGATCTCATGGATTATTAACTAAGTTACATTCTCTTCTTAAGTTAATAATTACGAAGCAAGGGTTCTTCCCTGGACTATCTAAGAAAGACACACTTCAACCCTCCAAGACTATCTTCTTTGTTGGACCCTCTAACTAAGACTAAATTATATAATACAAAAGTGTCGTCTTATATGTAAGATGACGTACCAAATACAAAATATTATTCTAATAGTAGGGGTTTATTTGCCATTTGGGGTGTACGATAAAGGCGCCGGCGGATGTACGTCATAGGCGCTACAGTCGGTAATGTCTAAAGCAGTAGTTTCTAAACTTGATGTTACTACGCATCCTTTAAATATATTTAATCACTTAGCGCCTACGCTCATCCCCTTCATTTCATAAAATAGATAAAACTTTAGCGGTCATTTGTAAAACGCTGGTCTAAAGAGTGAGAAATCTTACAATTGTTTGGGGAGGTTAATTGTGGGTGGCATAATTTTTATAGTTAAATGCCCGACTTCTAACAAACCTCCGTTTTAAGAAAGTTGCATAAATGAGTTGTAAAAACTAACAAAGTATTGTGGTGTCACAGGGATGGAATTCTGGACACAGTGGAATATTGTCTGGTGTTGTCGATGTGGAGTGTAGGAATTAAATAATTCAATTGGTTTTATACAAGTTTATTATAATAATTGGTACTCCTTTTGGGGTCCTTTTCAAGACTATGCAGATACTTTGAAAGGTTGACTAAGACTATGCTCATCTTAGGTTTTTATGAGACTATGCTCGTCATATTAAGGTTTTACTGAGGCTATGCTTGTCCTCAAAGATTCTGCTGAGGCTCTATCAGTCTTTGAAGGTTTTACTGAGACTAATTCTAAATAGTTATTCTATTTACAAAGATAATTCTTATTAATACGGGGTAGGAGTTGTGATTGGGAGTAGGGTTTGTATATATCGATGATTAAGCGTTCTCACGGGATTCGGCCTTGGTGGTTTATTTATTATAAGACCGGGAAAAAATCCTATGCATTTGTTTATATGAAATATATGATTGATTACGATTGTACGTGTAATGATTATTATGTGTTTATAATAAGGACTTGAATTCGGAGTAAGGACTTGTTTATATTAAAGTGTATCGAACCGGGATCACGATGGACGTTCTATTATGCTGATGTATATGTTTATATAATAATGCGACTAAGAGACGCCGTGGATGTCTCTAGTTCGTCAATACACTATATTAATAATAACAATTATAATAAAAATGGTTGGACACAACAGTATGAGAAACCCAAGAGTTTCTCCAAAAGGGTTTTATTGTCCTATCCAGATTGTTGCAAGTGCCGATAGGCTTGTTTGATGTTCGTAGGAGCTTTCTATAAGACTGTACTTATTAATACATAGCACACATAGTACTTATTAATATATCGATAATTAATAACAAAGTGGACACAACAAAGCATCGAATGACATTAATTTAAATATTAGTTTAACTGGAATAGTGAACTTAATTCATGTTAATATTGTTTAATATTTAATAGCGTAATTATCGTTTTCTGCGAACTAGTTACTATTCACTGTCAAGTATTCCTGTAAACACTAGAGAGGTTCCTCGTCGGAATCAGCATTTGAACTTTAAGTGATTGAAATAAGCACATGAACGTAACGTCGGTCAGTATTTCCATTGCTCAATTGGCACAGCGACGATGTTTAATCGATAAAACGGTGAGGTTTTCCTGATAAAAACATCCCTCATTTGCGGGTCGACGGGAAAACAACATGTTTTCCATTCCAATCCAGACAGTTTCATCAACATCGTTGATATTTTTATATTTATCTTTTATTATCTCCCTTATTGTTGTCATTAACATATTGGATTTCCTATTTGTTTTTGGTTTTTACTGTCTTTACTGAAAGATGAAAACTTGATATTGTTCATTTATTTATTATTTTCTGCACAGATTCATTACTTTTGTTAATGGCTTCTTCATTCAATAAGTATTACTAATAGATATATATCTGTATCACATATAACCAATCATTTGCTTCTTCCTAATCGAATGTAGTGGCACTAAGTATTTTTCAGGAAAGAAATTGAATAATCCGCACACGCCGCGGACTATTATTAAGAAATTATTTAAGGATGTTGCTCTTTTCAATTTATATTTGAAATTATATTATATATATTTAAATTATTTTAGATATGAAAATCGGAATTTCGCAAACCGAAACTAACTAACATTTATGTATAAAAAATAATGATGTGTATTATTTTTGAGAATTAAAATTTGATTTGTTTGGAAATTGTTAAACCGAACTATAGTAAATCCGCACTGATTGAAGCTGCACTAATCGGGGTATTGCCTATATAAGAGTAATTATTAAAAATAATATAATACATAACTGGTTTCTACCGAAATCAATGACCGAAATGCATTGATGTATGCCAGTAAGGATTATGTTACAATTTTATTTTTTTTTTCTAAAGAAAAATAATTTCACGTTTCGTTTCGTGGCCGGTAATCACAGCGTTATAAAAACTGCTGGTATATATAAACAGAACGACATAAATAAGGTATACAATGGAATGGTTTTCAACAGCAACGTTTGTTTAGTCTTTGTTATCACATAAATGCACGTCTGAAACTACACACTCTTATTCGTCATCGACTCGAGGCCGAGATTTACATAGAAATATTCTTAATAAGCACCTTGCAAAACGAACATTTCGCTTAACGTGTAAAATAAATTGTGAGAAAAATGACTCACAAAATGGAAGGCATTATCGTATATAACATTACTTTATATGGAGGAAATTGTTTCACTATACGAGTAAAAAT